CCGTACCCTCCCAGACCCCGGCATGGTTCGAGTCGGGGTCCTGAAGTGGAGCTGACCGGGGGTTGAGAAGAGCCTGGCCGAGTCGGGGCCAAGCACGAAGGGCTTCCCCGCCCGTCGGGCTCCGGGATTCCCGCCTGCCGATTTCCAGCCGTCAGGGTCACGCCACCCGCTGGAAGCCCTGAACTCCGTGTCCCCCAAGCCTCGGGCCCCCTGCGGGAATGTTCAAAAATGAGTACCAGGTAATCCGAAAGGGCTCTTCAACCTGTCTGTAGCTTTCTCCTCTTAAGTGAGGTAGCTCATGTTCGGGGTGAGGACAAAGACATTCCCCCCTCCCCAATAATACTGTCTTTTTTTGGGTAAGAAGGGACTAATGGACAGTGGTCGTCACCCAAAAAGGAATGAAAAGAACCGACGTGTGGGCATATGGTTTACTTTTGTTCAGCCTCCAGCTCAGTGCTTCTCAAAGGTGTTCTTAAACCCCAACTAGACCTTTTCAGTCAGAAACTTGAGGGCAAGACCCATAAATCTTGAGTTTTAACAATAACTTGATGCACACTGGTAACTCAGCTATTCGGGAGAGATGGAATGTGTGAATGAATGAATGAATCGGTTAAGCCAAGAAAGAAAATAAGCACTTTGGCCATGTGCTATTTTCTTTTCCCCCAAAACTGGATGTCAGTGATTCTGAAACAGGGGAGTTTGTTAGGATCACTTGGGAGTACTTGTGAAAAATGCACGTTTCCTGACCCTCACCCCCAGTCTAGCGAGTCAGAATCTCTAGATGGGGGCCAGTTAATTTACCTTTGGAGCAGCTTCCTCCAACTGATTCTGATGCAGGTGATGCAAAGATCACACTGAGGGAAACTGCTCCTGGATCTTCCTCAGTCACCTTGAGTATCCTAGACTGTCTCCAAAGCTCTCCTGCTTTCCTCACCTCAGTGGGCCTGTCCCAACTTTTCCTTGGCTCTAGTCTTCTGCCCTCCCCACCTAACTCTACTTGAGGTTACTCTTCATTTACAGTCTGTTTGCCATCCAAGTACTGCTGTTATGAACAATGTTGTCCCTGTGCTGGAACAGTCCTCCGCTGGTCACCTCTTGATTGCTTCTTCCTCTTCACCAAATACTGCCTGCCTTCTTATGGGTGTCCTCAGACTATTCTGCAGTTCTCTTTCTTCTATTGTATTTGATGTCATTAAATGCATTAGGACAATTTTACTTTTTCACTTAATACAAGTAAAATATATTGTTATGAAAAAAAAAAGCATATGCCACTGTGGGAAACTTGGAAAACAGGAGAAGCAGAAAGAAAAGGGGGGAGGGTTCCTGTCTCACCAGATATAAGGATTTTTCCCTTTAAAAAATTCCTCAAATTTAAAATTCATAGTGAATTATGACCTGACCCCAGAAGCTATTTCACACAATTTTCACATAAGAAGGAAGAAATTAAATGTCTTACTTTCAAGTGATTATGTGTTAAAACTCAGAAGCAAAAATATCTTTGTATTATTGAGAAAAAAGCTGGAAAATCTTCACAAAAATCAAATTTGCTCATGTGCTGCTTGTAATTCAAGCAGGCCATAAAGAAAATGATATTTAGTTTCATTTCAGATCCTCAGTGTTTTGCAATAAACTTCCTCAGAGACAATCATCTTGTTTAATTCTCTTTTATAATTAAAACTTACAGACATTCAGTACATGTTTAGTGTTTTTTTCATGAGCAGTTCCCTCCATATTCTCAGGTTTACAATAGGGAACATGTAGCCTGTCTGTAGAAATGATTCTGTTTTTCTTGTACAGATTTTATAGATCTCCAAATTAATTTGTATCAAATATGTTTAAAAAAATCTTATAGGAATCCTCAAAGTAAGAATCACTCCCTTTCCAAATCCCTTCCAAGAATTTTTTATTGACAAAGTAGTAAACTATCCAATTTGCCCTCTTGTTTTTTTTTTTTTTGAATAATCATTGCTGGCACTAATGGGCCCTTGCTATGTTCAAGGTATTGTGCTTGGTGGTTTATGTTTACTATCCTATGTAATCTAAAAGCCCATTTTACAGTTGGAGAACCAAGAGGTTAAATAACTCCAAGGCCAGATAGTTAATAAATGGCAAATCTGATATTGGTGCTGCGGTTAGTATGACTAAAAAGCTTGTACCCAGAGATAATTATCAGAATTTATTAGCCTGGCTTGAGAGTTGAGTTTAAACCCTTTAGTTTTTGTTGAATAGAATATTTTGTAAGCATGCTCTATACACATGAAGTAAATGAACCTTACACTGAGAGACTGTAAGGTTTATATGGCATGATTTATCTAATGTTTATCATGCTTTAATAAAAAAATTCCTTAATCCATTAATCCAGGTTATGGTTTAGATACAATCAAGGTATAAATTAGGAGTAATAGCAGGGATAATAGTTCCTCCCAGATCTAAACTGACAGATGCCTGAAACAGTGGTTATAGACTACGTGGTGAATAGTATTTCCTCCTTAGCATTGTCTTACATTTTTAATTTAAATATTTCATTTTTGTTTTCTAGGGAGGTGCATTTGTTGAAGTCTTCAGTGCTCAGGGAAAAAATCCTGGAGCAAAATGGAAGATCCTTGGCAGTCCATCTGTGATTTGGAAAGTAAGTGTTAAAAGTTAGAGCCACCTAAATCCCAGAAAGAAATGAGAGTGAAGGCTGTAACAAAAAGGGCTTGGTAAGATTTCAAAACCAGTTTCCCTGTTCATTCACTTCAGAACACTTTCATGACATTATTGACTGCAGTCCTGTCAGACACCCCTCCTCAGTTGTTAAAAACTTTGGCACAGAGTTCATAACCCATTTTTGTGTGCCAAGTCCTGTTCTTGTTTTAGGTGATTTCAGTATCTGTAAAGATGCCAGCTTCTCAGTTTCTTGACTTCTTCATCTTTAATTACTTCTTTCCTTCCACTTCAGCACCCTTTCCCACCGTGCTACTTTGTACCTTATCACCGAAAACGGCAGGGCCTCTGAAATTACTAAGTGAGACCTCGAGACATCCCTATCTGAGCCCAGTCTTCAATTCTTAATGTTGCTCACCTAGTTACTCCCACTATATTTGTTCTTCAACCTAACTGAGACCCTTAGGTTATTGACCGTTTTACTTCTTCCCCGTGTTTAGTTTTATCTATCTTCTCTGTCTTCACTTTCTGTTCTCTCCAGCCTAGAATCCATGGTGCATAATTTCACTCACTTCCCAGTCAAGAGCTTGAATGCCCCTGCTCCCTGTCCTTTCATCATGCCTGCCTAGCAAATGCCAGCCATTTCTGAGTCCCCAGTTATCTCTCTTCTGTGCCTGCATCTGGGCTTCTCAATACGTTTGGAAAAAATGTCTAGTCTCTGATCGATACTCCTATAAATTCAAC